CTTTTTGGGGGCCATTGGGTCCCCAAAGTCCAAGAGAGACATAGTAGGCTTATTTGGTATGTTAGAATTTTACAGAAAGCATTGTCAAATGCAAAGTAGTATTTAACTTTCTCTAGGTTACATGTATATAGATACGTTGTTCATTATGTGTTCCAGAATTGCATGACATTCCTGAAATTCTGATCTGTCTTAATATATGTTGCCAGTGGTTATAATTATTGTTAAATTGTCTGATACAGAAATAACAAAATTTCCTTGTCAGCTGTGTCTTTACAGCTGTCCTAAGACTTTCATCATCTACGATTATTGTTTTGCTTTGATTCTTTTCACAAAGTGACTTATAATCAGCTACCATCCAGGGCTTGCTTCTTTGGGTGGAGAGTTCATGGAAAGGACTATTGAATGCACATTTCTATTAACTTTGGAGATTGTGCCATTGGATCAGGAAGAAACTTCCAGGGCTCTAAAAAGCTGGTGTTAACCCGTTATGACGGCTAACCCAGCACGAAGCATAGCAAGAGGTGACTGCATGGACTGAAGTAGTGGAGGACTGAAACCTTTTTTATGGTTTTTTGAAACACTGCTGGTTCTTTTTGTTTCATTTTTCCGAGTCTGGAAAGCTTTTTTCTTCTGAGCTGTTTATATCCATTAACAATAGAGTATACTCTTGCAAACAGAATTTGAAGCTTTTTTCTGTGTCTGCCTGACTTCTCCAGAATTTGGAGACTGCAAATATTTTTAATTCATGGCAATGTATTTGTTTGCATGCATTTATTAGGAATCTGTTTTCTTTTATAATGGGACACAGTTGGAGGAACTGGTTATTCTCCCAGGGCTTTGACTGGAATGGCACATTTTCAGAATAAGCAGATTGCTTTGAGAAATTGAGATTGACTTTATAGAGCCAATGAGAACCTCTTAGAATACTGGCCTCATACCTTGTCTATGCAGTTCCTTTGCATGCTTCCTGGCCTGCGGTAAGTGGACTGTGTCACTTTCTGTCAGGCCTAGGAGCCTCAAGTTGTTTGGGACCTTGAGAAGAGTGGTTCTCCCAATTCACACAGAGATCTGAAGGCACAGATGGATCCTTGGCTTGGCTTGAGAGGCCTTTGAGGTGGAGTCTGAGATTCCTTGTGAAAGGTTCTAGCAAAGCCAACTTAGGAGAGCCTGGATGGACAATGATTCTTGGCCAGGCACAGTGGCTCATACCTGTAACCCTAGCACTTTGGGAGGCCAAGGTGGGAGGACTGCTTGAGTCCAGGAGTTTGAGACCAGCCTGGGCAACATAGTGAGACTCTGTCTTTACAAAAAATTTTAAAAATTAGCCAGGCCTGGTGATACATGCCTGTAGTCCACCTACTCTGGAGGCTGAAGTAGGAGGATCACTTGTGCCTGGAAGGTTGAGGCTGCGATGAGCCATGATTATGTCACTGCACTGCAGCCTACATGACAGAGTGGGACCCTGTCTCAAAAGAAAAAAAAGACAATAATTCTTCCTGCACTTTGTGTGAGTAATCAGGCCACTGAAGCTTATTTTGCAGGTAGGTTGGTCTTGCTGTGATTTGCCTTTGGTGGAAGTGGGGGACTGGAAAGAGAAAGATTGTGTTTTACAAAAAACTCTAGTATCAGATTAACCTTTGATTCTTGGGTGGCCGCAGGGTTACCCATGGTGTGGAGCTGCCCACAATGCCCCTCCTCAGCATGAAGCAGCCAGATGGATCCATGGCCTGATTCCTCATGACTGAGGAATTGACAAATGGGGGAAGGGTGTTGCAACTGGCCTAGTAGTCCCTTAGAATGGATGTCTATGGTTTCTTTTAAATAAACATAGAAATTGACCCTTCCATTCTTTAAAACTTGAGAAAGTTACATTTGTCTTATCTGAGATCCTTCCTCAGGAAACCAACCAGCAGGCCTTCTAAACAGTATCAAGGAACAGAGACTCACTAGATCAGGGCATCTGGACAGTAAGACCCGACACCCCTCATCCATCATGACTGCCTCTGGGAGCACCAGCTTCCTGTTGACCAATTCTTTTTCCTTAGCCCTCCTAATTCCTGCTTTTCCACACATGGTTACATTTCTTCCCTGCTATGTAAACCCCCAATTTTAGTCTGTTGAGGACACAGATTTGAGAACAATCTGTTCTCCCTAGTGCAGCACCCGATTAAAGCCTTCTTCCCCGGCAGCGCCCATCGTCTCACTGATTGGCTTTCTGTGCGGTAAGCAGCAGGATCTAGACCGAACCCCTGGCGTTTTGGTGACATGTTCATTTCCAAACCCACTCAAATATTTTTAATTTCTAAAAAACTTTCTATTTGAAAGATAAATGTGTAAATAATACATTCCTGATCAGCTATGAACAGATGAATAAACAAGTAAGTCAGTGAAGGATGTCCGTGCCCAGTTTAAAGGTTGTGACCTTAATCAGTTTCAAAAATGGAGACCGATCAGTAAACCTAAAAAGTTATGAAATTATCCTGAGTCTTAAACCAAAAATTCTATTTTCTGTGTAACCTTACACTTGGAAGAAAAGTTTAATTTCTTTCAAGGCTGGGCACTAAGAGTCCTGGACAGTGAGACCCACCTGCCCTCAAACACTCGATGCC